CCTCTCTTCTGATTTTTCTCACAATGTCTTCTTAATGTTCTCTCAAAACATCAGATAAGAAATTCTTAGACAAAAATTTTGGTGTTCCTGCTTTTTTTTTCTCTCTCTCTCTTTTTGAGACAGGGATTTGCTATGCTGTTCAGGCTGGCCTTGAACTCACAGCAATCCTCAGACCTCAGCCTCCCAATGATGGGATTATATGGGTGAGCCACCATACCTAACTTCTGCCATGTTGATATCTAGTGCTCAGCACAGTTTACTGTGCCTCCTCCCCAATTCCCTTATTCAATCCAGTCTGGTCTCTGTCCTAAGCTTGGGACTTGATGGGCTCTTGGACTTCCTTTGTGCCTCTCTTTCTTTCTGGCTATAACATTTCCATTTTTCACATAAAAGTTTGTCCAATTCCAGGACATGCATCACTGCCAAGACCCTTTCCAGACTGTGAAAGCTTCCATTGATTATTCCTGCAGAGAAAGATCTCCAAAGTTCCACAGAAAGTGCTATCCCTATGACTTAATAATCTCACATCACTAATGCTTGTGTTTAATTTTTAGTTATTTAAAATTTTTCTGTATTTAGGGCAAGGTCTACAGGGTCTCACTATGTAGATTGGACTTGTAGTGATCCTCCTGATTTCAGCCTCCCAGATGCTGGGATTACAGGAACATGCCACCACCTCTAGTCTCAATGGCCATCTCAGCACACCCTGGGGGTGGGGCCAGTATGGTACACTGGGGATTGAACCCCAGCCGCTGTGGTCTGCCTAAGCAGGCACTTTAGACTGCTGAGCTATCAGGCCAGCCCTGTTTCTGTTTAATTTTTAAATATTCCTTTGTTGTTTTCCTAATGGCCTTACCAGCTTTCTGAGAGCAAGACTTGGGTCTTACATTTCTCCTTCTCCCCTGGGTGCTGCTGGGTTGGGAGACAGTACTCCTGTTTCTATAACACTTGCTTCTTGAGTCAGCACTTCTCAATTAGAGGAATAAAAGACTTACTTTAGAAAAACAAAAAATCCTCCAAATCTTAGCAATTATATGCCACTGAGATTCTGCACTGGTACTTACTTGTACATCAGTAGAACAGTAAATGAAAATACACAATCAGAAAACAATTAACATTAAAGTAAAAACATGAAACAAATATGTCATAAAAACTCTTAGACTCATTGCATCACATTTTCCTCTGCTACCCCATCTTTGCTATCCACCAAGCCCTCCCACCTAAATCCTGATTTTCAAGACACTGAGCTAAGTCTTTGGAAGCTATAGTCAAAATATTGAAATAACTCACTAATACCTTAGCTTCAGTGATCTCATTAGTTTAGTCAACCCTCAGTAAGCAGTGCAGGAGGAGAGTGCAAAGGCTGGGTGGAGTTTTATGAAGAGAGAGAATTGGAAAGTTCTGGAATTTAAGATTCTGACTGCTTCTGGTACCGTGCTGCAGGTCCAGCTTCTCCAGATTAGAGCAAGAAACAAGAGGAAACCACCAAAGGAAATGGGAGTTCCCCAAAAGAGGAGGTGCTTCCTGACACCAGGTACTACAGACAAGCAGCATGCACTCAAGGGAGGGATATCTTTGCCATGCACTACCCATCAAGACGGTGGTGTCAGGAAACTAGGAAGCTGAGAGGATGTGAGTTGGCAGCTGTAGACCAGGCATTAAGTTGCAGGTGAGACAACGGAGGAGTGACTAGAATGAGAGGGAGGAGGCAGAAGTTGAGGAGGGACTACGGTGAAAGAGTCTTGCTTTTGGTTTTGGGAAAGTATGAGCAAATACATAGCTGAAATGACTGAAGATCTGAGAGGTGGCATCACATAAAACAAGGGTCACCAGCATGGGATGTAATCAAGAGAGGGGGAGAAGAGACATTAGCCAGGGCAGAAGGAAGGGGATAGCAGGGGAACATTGTTAATTTTATAAAGCATGAGATCTTTGTAAGTGGCAGAAGCCAACTTAAATATAAGTTAAAAAATAAAATAAAAGCTAGCAGCACATGGCTATGGGTCTGTGCACCATCCAGAACCAGGAATCCTATGTATTGTTCTGGTGTTCTCTCTCTATCTGCCTTCTTGTTTTCTCAACCCCTGCAAGTCCTTAGTTTTGCCAATCTGATGGGGAAACAAGGCCACCACTAACTTCCATACAATTCAACAGTTGTCACCATGAAGAAAGTCTGGATTGATTATCTCGCCTCCAAACACAAAATTCTAAAGGGACGTTCTCACCAGTCCATGTAAGAGCCCAGGCATAGGTCATAAATTGTGGGTAGGCTGCACACAGGACATTGTACAGAAGCACCCCTCCCCTCCAGAACACAGACTGGAAGAAGGGGCAGTGTTTTACTGCAAAGAGAGTGTGATAAACAAAATAGTAAGTGTCCAGTGAGGGAGAGGGTTTGGAGGAAAAGAAAGTTTAGAAGTCTTGAGAGGATTCGAGCCAAGTTGTCCTTTGTTTCATTTTTATGTTGTTCTTGGTTAAGTTTACATCCTCTACCAAGGGTCTACATGGGGTTTCAGGCTACAGAACCTCTGGAACTCCAACAAGTGAAATAGAAAGGCCAAGAAAATAAGTGAACAGCTCCGAGAAGCTTCTAGGGATAGAACACACAATTGGTTCATGGGATGGATCCTAGATTCACTCACTCAGTGAACATTATTGATGACCATCTCTATTATCACTCAGTATTCTGCACACAACTCTCAAAGTAAGTGGCTAGGCTGAGCCAGGGTTAGAGAGTGGGAGTACAGGGGCTTCAGGGCCTGGGAGCAAATGAGCAGAGTTGAGGGGAAGGGCGGAGGCATGGGAAGATATTCACAGAAAGGGCTGAGCTTCAGAGCGCAAGGAGGAGGTGGAGAGCTGGGGGGCCATCAGGGAGGAGCTAACAAACTGTGGTCTCACTGCCTCAGTGTCCCTGGAGGTGAATCCTTGGAGACAATGAACACATCTGATCTGCTCAAGAACAGACTATGTAGCTACCAATGATGCCTCTTTGCTGAGAAATCTCAGTGTGGATGCTGAGTTACATGGACAGTCACACAAGGCCAGGGCAGAAGTGATGACACAGTGGACTCTTGGGGATACCTGCTTCTTTGTGCTTCATAGCTTCAGACTATACATTCTGGAGAGGTTAAACTCTCTAGATCCTTCTGAGGGACACGGAGACTCCTGGATATCTCTAGTGTCTGAAGATTTTGGGATCTTAAACAGAAAGGATCAGAATCAGAGACAGAAACCAAGCTACCAAGCCCTGGCCTGGTCTACTGGCCCTCTGCAGAGAAAGACGGGCAGAATGGCCCCATTCCTCATTCATTGCTGGTAACAGGCATGGAAATTCTACTTGTACCCAGACTGGATTCCTCGAGGTAATTTGATACACCTAGGGTATCTCTGGCCCTGATGTCCCAGAAACAATATCACTTTCTAACCATGCTCTTCAGCTTTCCTTGTTATGAAAAAAGCCAGGGCCATGCCTTGATCATCTTTGTATCTGCCATGTTAGAGACCAGCAGTCCAAGGCAGATTCTCAGTCCATGATCATGGGGCCCCTCCTCACCTTGCTTCCTCCAGCAAAGACTGGAGCTGTTCCATCTCAGAAGTATCCAGGTTGACGGTCTTGAACCAGTTTTGTAAATCTCAACATGCAACAATGTGCTCAGGAGATGGGGTGATGAGGATGGGGAGGAGGCTGGCAGGAGTTGGGGAAATTTTTCCTGACCCCAGCTGATGATCAGCTTACAGTCTAAAGCAGTGGTGGCAAACCTGTGGCATAAGTGAAGCAGCTGGCTACAGCACTGAAAGCTCTGAAAGGTTCACCATCACTGCCCTCAAGCATAAGGATTAATATCCAGAGTAATTTCATCACGAGCACAGTGAAAGTACTAATGTGCAATTATTCAATGAAATAGCTAATCCTTCCTACGTGCCATTCCCTTAGGATGCCTGGGACTGTCCAAGCACAGGTTCAGCCTGGGCAGGGGCACAGCACTCCCCTCCTGGGCCCAGTGGACAGCTATCTGAGAACTGACTGTTTTTGCCTTTTGGGTGGGATGACTTTTCTGGATGATGGTGGGGCAGGGAAGAAGTGTGTGTGGGCGAAGGGCACGCTTGTGTTTATGGGGAACAAGAGAGAGAGGGTGGAACTGAAGGGAGCCCCAGGTGTTGGAGTGGGTGGCTACACAGACACTGGAAGGAAACAGACTGTGGGCAACTCTAAGGTTCATTCCAACTCCAAGACCCAAAGGACTTGGGTGCGGGGAGTTTGGGTCTTCAGGAGCCCCACATCTGAACCAGCAGGCACCCAGAAATTCGCGGTGCCAGCTGAGGGATCCAGAGCCAGGCGACTCCATTTATCAAAGCGCTGCTGCTCAGATGAAAGGGTTTGCAGGCTAGTCAGTGATTTGCTTGGAGCCCTTCCCTGGACAGCCACCCCGGGGCGGGGCGAGTAACAGGAGCCGCAGGGCCTTGAGAGTGTACTTTGCGGAGCCCGCGTGGCCCTCCGGGGCGTGGACTAGGGCGTTGTCGCCAGAGCCAATGTTCGCACGTGGCCGCTGCCCATCCCCCTGCGGGGAGGGGCGGGCTCTGGGCGTGGCCGGTGGTGTGGTTCTGACCATCCCAAGGGGCTGGCGTTGTGGACCTGTCCTGCCCGGCTCGGTGGGTCCTCGCGGGGCTGGGAGCCCAGCGAGGGTGGGATTGCAGTGGGGGCGCGGGGGTCTCGCGTTGCTGACCTCGCCCCAGCTGGGCCCTGCGCCCTGCCTCCGTGCTTCAATCTAGACCGCAAGAGCCCAGAGGCCACGGCCTCCTTCCAGAGCGCTGCGTTCCAGAAACTTCAAGAACTGCCGCGGGGTTCTTGGAAGACGTTGAGAGGAAAAGCAGAGCGTCTGGCGTCCCCATCCAATCGCTCTTGAGCCACAGACAGCATTTGGCCAAGGCCCTGCTGCCCAGGAGGGAAAAGCAGTTACCAGAGCGTTCCATAAAAGCTCCGGATCCGTTTCCTTTCTTACCTTATGTCCTTAATTAACGTCTCCCTCCCTCCGAGAGCCCAGAGAACATGGAGGCAGGTGGGCCAGAGCGCTGCGGCCCTGGGGTGGAAGGGGGGCGCGTAGCCATGGCAACGAGCTCTTCCCGTGGGAATCGGGAACTCGGGACGATGGGGCAGATTGGAAAGGGACAGCCTGAGTGCCAGCTGGGGCTCCAGGCAGGCGGGGCGAGGGGGCGGGGGTCTGCGGGGTGGGGGCGGGGCGGCCTGGCCAGCAACCCCAAGGCCACATCCCGAGTCACAGGGGGCTGCACACGCCGGACGGACGGACGTGTGATGTGTCGTGTTCATCCGTCGCTGCCAGGGAGCAGATGTGTTTGCCCATTTGCTTAGAGCAGCCACAACCCAGGGTGGACCTGGATATGGACAGGGAGGGATCCTTCCCTTCCAGAGCCTGCCTGTCTCCTCTCCAGAGCATGTGAGTTTCAACTATGGAGTTTGGTTCTGTGTGGCTGAGGACGCTTATTTCTTTTTGCAGTTTCTCAAGCTTCACACGATTTTCAAGTCGTACATTATTTTTTTTTTTCCAGTTCAGAAAAGACCAAAACAAACAAACAAACAAACAAACAGTGAAAATAATCCACAATTCCCATTCATTTCACCCAAAGGTAATCATTATTGATATCTGCGGTCATTCTGTATTCTTCCTGTGCACAGGTACATACGTGGATGTGAGTGTGTAAGAACCGACGACGCTACACGGTTTGTCACCCGCATTTTCACTTGTCAGAGACGTGAACAATGAACCACTGATATCATTATTTCTAATGGCAACATAACATGCACCACCATCTATTAATCAATTGGCTGTTGCCAGGAAGTTTCTTCCCAAAGTTTACTCTTCCAGATGGTGATAAATGAGCGCTCTTGCGCACACATTTTTGTACAGTCTGTTAGTTTTCTTAAGGTAAACTTCTAAAATTAGAATTACTGGGTCAAAAGGAACAGGCCTTTAAATTTGTATGCATATTTCTACATTCTGAGTTGTTGCATTTTTTAGGAATGAGTGGGCTTTCTTTTCTTTTCCATCCATTTTTGGAGTGACAGGGAAAGGCCTGTTTTATATCTATTCATTTATCTAGCTAATATTTTACCCACCCCCAACTCCCAGAACCAAAATCTGAAACAAGAGTTTGGGTGCAAGTAACTTTTTTACTGAGTTCTTCAGAAAGTGGTCTGAGTGGTGAAGAATATATTCATAAGTGGTGACTGCTGGGGACAAGTGAGGCTGTGTCACTGGTGACTCAGAGAGACCATGTGGAACAGCCCTTAAAACTGTCTGCCATTGCTGTCTGCAGGGCATGAACTCTCCTGGTCTTCTGACTTCCCTCACTGTTCCTTGGAAAATGTCCACAGGTAAATTCTGAAGCAGGCCAGCGTGATAAGGCCAGTGCACCCACAGCCACAGCTACAAATGAATTATGACTCCTTCCCAAATCCATGCCAAGGAGTGAAGTTAATCCCTGAACAAAATTGCATGATGGGTTAAGATTTTTATTTGTCCCTCTGCCTTCCCTCCCTGTTCCCTAAATCATTTTTTGGAGCCAACTCCTGCTGCCCAGGATCCCAAGTGGTTTAACTCTTCCAGGCACAGCAGAGATGTAGCTGATCTTCTGAACAATTGGAGTGTTTCAAATAAAACCAGGTATCTCAACCTTTTAAGACAGGAACCTAAGGAGAGAGCAGTTCCTGACTAGAAGACCTGAGGATAACTCTGGTATTTTAGGCACCATGGCAGCTGCATGCTGTTTTGGTAAGGGGCACCTAAGCCTGAGGTTGGTCCACCTGTTGGTCCTTTTGTTACCAATTCCTACCCCCTCCCCCCGGGGGGGTTCTTTTTCCCTCTTAGAGTTGTGGGACCAATAACAAGCTCCAGTGCAGATTAAACAGCAAAAAGAAAAGAATAAAAGTGGGAGGTAAATTGATAAATCAACTTCTTGACCTGTTGAGGGTGAGGAGGTTATAGATATAGGATAAAAGGAAAGAAAGGGAGGAATATTCATGTCTTTTATGAAGATGGGTGAAGTTTTCCACAAATTCAAGTGCCACTCCCTTTCAGTTCTTTTATGGTTCTTTTGGGTTGTCATCATGGCAACAGCCAATTGTCATGACAATAGGGGTGTGTCATTTAGATGCAGGCGGTATTATGATGAAGTTCAGGTTGGCTGGCAGTCACCCTTTTAGTTATCTTGGATTCTGCCTTGTTCAGCTCCCTGACCTGTAGCCTCTAAGTGTTCTGTGTTCAAAGACAAGATAGGGCAAGCTAGACCCTCAGGAGGTCAGTTAGTCTGTACAAGGCTACAGCAGGTTAACACTTGCTGACCAGGAGATGGCCAGATGAAAGCAATAGATAGGGTGAGAAGAGGCTAGTGTGTTAAGTCCATCCCCAGGTGACACTCACTGGCCTGTGTGTTTTACAAAATGAGGCAGCAGAAAGCAGGTCTGAGTTTGTTGCTCTAGGGGATGTGAACAAAGTGAGCTGCTAAGGTGAGACAGGAATGGAATGGGTTATTAAAAGGAATCAAAAGAGAGGAGAGAATGAAACAGCATGCAGGCTGGCTCTGAGCTACAAGATATATTTTAATTAATTCAATGAATAGAAAGATTTTTACGAATAGTGTTTGTGGGCAGGATATGATGTCTGAATCTTGTACTATGAATAACCACTAAGAAGACAACAATATGCAATGTATTAATTATTGAAACTGTCCTACTAATCGGTTTTGAAACTGTCTCATTGCTATTTGTTTCTCAATGAAATTATTTTTTTTAGAGAAGAGGGATTCAGTCATAGTTCACAACTTCCCTTCCTCTCTGGCCATTCCTTCTTAGTGTCCATTAGGGGCCTGTTTTGTTTCATGCAGTGCTCATGCTGTTTAGAGCTCTGTGTTGTTCCTTTTCCCCAGCTGCACATACTCTCTGGGTATCCATGCAGCCCCCTTCCCCAGCTACCACTGCCATCACACACAGATGTGGCTTGGCTGGCTGGCCCATCTCTCCCTTGGGAGCTCAGGTCCAAGCAAATCCAGAAATTGACAGAAATTGTAGCAGCAGGGGGAGTCTCAGGAGAGGCATTTAGTCCCTTCAGCTGTGTGTTCTCTGGATTCCTTCATCATGAACGCAGGTATACCAGTTAAACTGTGGGCTGTTTGAGGATGAGGGCCTTTTATGGTTTTTACTTTCCTGATTTGTCACATGCAGTAACTATAAGACACTGGCTGCATTGACCATGTAGAAATTTCTCTACCAGTACCATTTGGGACATACTAGATAGAACATTCTTCCTTCTCACAGGCATCTTTATGTTTAAAGACACAGCTCCATTAACCATCCACAGTTGCTCGTCAGCAGCTCCATAGTCATGTCAGTTCTCGGTCACCTTACTCTCTTGGCAGTGGCTGGCATTATTTCCAGCTTTGCCATCTTGAAGCTTTGTCTTCTTTTGGGCTCCATAATGTCACAATCTTGATTATTTTCTGTCCAACTAGCCTTTTTTTTTTTTTTTTTTTTTTTTTTTTTTTTTTTGTCTCCTACACACAATTCTCCCCCAAAACTCCATCCTACAGTGCAGCATGAGATAGTGGAAAGAATGCAGGTTTTGGAGCCAGAGGGACTGTGTTTGATTCTGGGCCGCATCATTTATTAGTTGGGTGACCTCTCCAAGCCTCAATTTTCTCCACTGTAAAATATAGATAATTATGAGGTTGGAAGAAATTGTAGGTAAAGGGCCAGATACAAAGCACTTGCTAAATGCATGGCAGTTATAGGTGCACTGTGAGACTCTGCCAAATGTTACACAAACCCCTGGTGCCTTCTGTCATCCCTGGTGGAGGAATGCCAGTTCTGCTTCTCCATCCTTGACTGCTGTCCTGCATCTGGTCCTTGTCTCCACATATGTGCTAAGTGTTTCCACTTTTCATGTCCTGCTGTGACCCCAGCAACAACCTATACAAACCAACATTGTCATGTTTCTGTCTTCAAAGCGTCTCCTGCCAGTGTTTCTACACTGCTATTTCCCAGACGCTCCAGCTTGAAACGCTTGAAAGAGTCTTCAATCTAGTCATCTCTGTAACGACTTAGAAGTAATGACGCTTACTGGTAGAATGCCTCCCTATGCCTTTACCACTTTCCCAACAGTACTTGAAGGAGGCTATCATGCAAACGTGGACTGGGGGACAAAGTAATGCCTTAAGGACAGCGTTGAACACAACTTGGATTCAAATCCCAGGCTCGTCCTGTTTCTTGATGATCCCCTCCATGGAGTGATAGGCTGGTACCAGTCACACTCAAGATGCTGAAGCCTCTCCATCTGGAAAGTGAACTAGCAAGCATTTCACAATGTAGTATCCTACTTATGATGTCTCAGTGGTTCTTCATTGCCTACTCGGTGAAATCTAAATTCTTCCTAGTTCATAATCTGACTCCAGTTCACCCTTCAAACACCACCCTGCACTGAAGCCAGATAATTCCAAGAGATACTTCCATGTTCCTTTTCTTCTCCCTCTCCCCTACCGTAATCATAATCTACCCTCCCAAGACAATCGTGGACTCTATTTCTTTTAGGAGGCTCTCTCAAAACTTTCTAATGTTAATAAATCATTTCTTCCTTTGAGCAGCAAAACTGCAGTCTCTCTTTCCTTGTGGTTTGATCAAAGCCACCATCCACTTCAGACTCTTACCTTTATCTGAAATGGTGGACCTGGAGCAAAGCTGGGAAAGGCCCACTCTGACTCTTGGCCCCTGATGCTTTGCTATGAGCTCTATTTCTCCTCAGTGGACTCTGACTCTTTTTCCTAATGTGGTCTTTTTCCAATATGCAATAGAAGTATTTTTGTGAACAGTATTTAAAGACAAATTCTAAACCCTGTGTGTTGGAAAAACTTAATGATGACCTCTGTGATTCCTAATTGCTGGAGTTCATGACCTTGGGGATTCCTTTCACGTTGGGCCAAGTGTGGCCTGTGACTTGCTCAAGTTAGTGGGGTATGCTGAAGGTAATGAGATGTCACTGTCACAATCAGGTTATATTGTATAAGGCTCTCTGTAGGCCCACTTTATTGTCCAGGCACCTCCAGAAGTTGTCAGTGGTCATAGAAAAGGGAAGGGCATGTTTTAACTCTGTACTTCCCGTTCTTCATTAGGAAT